GGTTGGGCGCGTCTCTCTGCACCTGTGACGACCTTTATAGAGCCAATCACGCCCATCTAGAAGCTAGTCTTATTAAAGTTGTGCACGTTGTTATTGTGGACGCTATACTTAGCTTTAGTCTCCTCTACTAGCTTAAACCACGCGCCAATTATCTCTAGATCCTCCTAGAGTATTCTCTGCCTATCCTTTGCTTGATTAAAGGCCATTTTGAGCTCAGGCGAGCGCGTTACAAAGCAATCAGCCCAGCACTTGCTAATAGGCTTGCCACCGCGTACAGCCAGCAGTTTATCAGCCATATCTGCCACCTCGCACAGCCAGGGCGCAAATCCTCGCAAGTTGAGGTTAAGTATGTATTAGATGATCGTCTGCTGTTCAGTCGCAGTAAGCTTCTAGCAGTTAGGGGCAGCTTCTACGCGAAATGTGAGTCCTTAGACGCGACAAGAGAGTGTACGGCAATTAACGTTAAATGCCTCTGCAGCAGCCTAGTGGCTTTAGAATTGTCTAGATTTCAAGGCTTTAATAGCAAGCTAAAGCCTCCCTTCATGTTCAAGTAATAACGCGTTTGGTAGTTGAGGCATGTTAGAGAGAGAGAGTAGGTAGAGGGCTTGGCAAGTTTTGGGACACTCGGTGATGTGGGACACTCGGTGATAGTTTAGGTTATCTATTAAGCGCCTTTACTTAAGTACTTAACCTAGTTATCTAATAAACTTGTTAGTAACCTATAATAATTTTGTATGCGATTTTAGATTAGTGTTGACTGCGCCTCTATCTCGCGGGCGTTGCGTGGTGTTTGCGCCTCCTAGGCAACAGTGCCTGGTGCAGGTGGCGTTGGCGTACGTAGCTGTACATCAAGCTTCAATAACACAACCTTAGGGTTATGCAGGGCTAGCCCAGCGCCTTAAAACCCTGCGCGAACATTCTCTAGTGTAAACATCCTCTTAAAAGCTACTTTAAAGGCTAGTAGGAAGGTTTCTTTATTAATATAGTAGATGTGGCTGCGTGCTAAGAGCAAGATCCTGTTGCTGTATTAGCGCTTCAACAGCGAGTATGGGACAATGTCAAGAGGCTGCAGGAGGTGCAATGAGTGTGGTGGCATGCAGAGAGTGATAATCTTATTCTCCTTGCAGTAGTCCTAGAATTCTATTAAGCAGTGGCTCTTATGGCTGTTAATAATAAGCAGCCTATATGCCCTAGCAGAGGTCACCTTTGTATAGGCGTTGAAGTGCTTAAGCTATGCTATTGCAACGTTGTTATTAGTCTAGCTAGTAGGAGAGACTGTAATAACCTAGTTGTAAGGTAGACTAGTAAACTAGGAGGAGATTAGGACCTTACCTACAAAGATAAGGAAGGGTAGGATAATACACCCTATTATAGTAACGCCTTGTACTAGGGTAACCTACTTGTAATTACTAGGCTGTAGTTTCTTCTATTTCCTAGGTTTCTCTAAGCCTGTAATAACAAGCTAAGAGGATATCTTACCTATTATAAAGCTAGACTTATTAAAGTTCTAGGTATCCTTATCTATAATACTATACTTTGTCTTTATTAATTAAACTAGGCTAAACTAGGGCTAGATAAGCGCTAGGTCTTTGTAGGCAGCTTGCTAGCAATTGTACAGACAGCTCCATCGCGTGCGCAGCTCTAGTGTACGCTTAATGAAGTTATTAACCTAGTTCTTGCCTATAGGCTTCCTACCACGCTCCCTTAGCAGTCTATCAGCCATATCTTGTACATGTGCCTTTAAGGGCGGTATTCCACGTAGACTCTCTTTAAGTATACGCTGTATAATTGCCTCCTCTTCTAGCTTTGTAAGGCGCTTTAATTTTAGCTTGCAGTTGTGTTAAGGGTGTTGTCTAGCGTGTTAGTCTTAGATTGTTATTTGTAGGATGTTATAGACTGCTGCAGCGCGTCTTTCGCTCTATATCTGCTTAGACTTAATATTAGAGATAGCAATAAATATATCTCCTTCAGTATAGGTCTTTTGCATGTTGCGTTGTTGTGGCATT